AGGACAACCAGGGGCATGGCAAGGCAAGAGCCATCTGGTCCCCTTAGGCATGGCAAGGCAATAGCCCATTGTCTAAGTTTGAACAGCTTGTTCTTGCTTTGGCATGTCTAAGGTCGACCAGATGGCTCTCACTTTGCCATGTCTAAGGTCAACCAGATCACTCTCATCTTGCAATGTCTAAGGTCGATCAGATAGCTCTTGCCTTGCAGCTTCATAAATTAAGGAAAGACACAGTCTTTTTCAGATAAACAAATGCTGACAGAATTCACCACTACACATGAAAACAAAACCTCTTTAATAAATCATAAATCTCCCAGGACAACCATAGACATGGCAAGGTGAGAGCCATCGGGTCTAACTTAGACATGGCAAGCTGAGAGCCATCTGGTTGAACTTAGACATGGCAAGGTGAGAGCCATCTGGTCGACCTTAGACATAGCAAGGCAATAGCCCATTGTCTTAAGTTTGACCAGATAGCTCTCAGCTTGCCATGTCTAAGGCCAATCAGATGGCTCTCACCTTGCCATGTATAAGTTCAACCAGATGGCTCTCATGTCTAAGGTTAAGCAGATGGCTCTAGACTTGCCATGTCTAAGGTCAACCAGTAGGCTCTCGCCTTGCCATGTCTAAGATCTACCAATAGGCTCTCATCTTGTCCCATCTAAGGTCAATCAAATGGCTCTCACCTTGCCATGTCTAAGGTTGAGCAGGTGGCTCTCACATTGCCACATTGAAGCTCGACCAGATGGCTCTCGCATTGGCATGTCGAAGGTTGACCAGTAGTCTCTTGCCTTGCCATGTCTAAGGTCAACCATATGGCTCTCACCTTGCCATGTCTAAGGTAGAGAAAATGTCTCTTGTCTTACCAGGTCTAAGGTTGACCAGACGGCTCTTGACTTGCCATGTCTAAGGTTGACCACTAGGCTCTCACCTTGCCATGTCTAAGGTCAATCAGTAGGCTCTTGCCTTACCATGTCTAAGGTCAACCAATAGGCTCCCATCTTGCCATGTCTAAGGTCAAGCAGATGGCTCTTGCCTTGCCATGTTTAAGGTCAACCAGTAAGTCTGTCACCTTGCCATATCTAAGGTCAAGCATATGGCTCTCACTTTGCCATGTCTAAGGTTGAGGAAATGGCTCTCTCTTTGCCATGTCTATGTTTGACCAAATGGCTCTTACCTTGCCATGTCTAAGGTCAACCAGATGGCTCTCGCCTTGCCATGTTTAAGGTCAATCAAATGGCTCTTGCCTTGCAGATTCATAAATTAAGGAAAGACACAGCCTTTTCCAGACAAACAAATGTTGACAGAATTCACCACTACACATCAAAACAAAACCTCTTTAAATCATAAATCTCCCAGGATGACCAAATACATGGCAAGGCGAGAGCCATCTGGTTGACCTTACACATGGCAAGGCAATAGTCCATTGCCTGAGTTTGATGAGATAGCTCTCACCTTGCCATGTCTAAGGTCAACCAGATGGCTCCTGCTTTGGCATGACTAAGGTCGACCACATGGCTCTCACCTTGCCATGTCTAAGGTCCAGCAGATGGCTCTCACCTTACTATGTCTAAGGTCGACCGATGACTCTTGCCTTGCCATGTCTAAGTTCAACCAGATGGCTCTCCCCTTGCCATGTCTAAGGTCAACCAGTAGGCTCTCGTCTTGCCATGCCTAAGGTCGACCAGTAGGCTCTCAACTTGCCATGTCTAAGGTTGACCAATAGGCTCTCAACTTGTCATGTCAAAGGTCAATAGGATGGCTCTCGCCTTGCCACGTCTAAGTTTGACCAGATGGCTCTCACCTTGCCATGTCTAGGGTTGAGCAGATGGCTCTAGCCTTGCCATGTCTAAGGTCAACCAGTAGGCTCTCCTCTTGCCATGTCTAAGGTCAACCAGATGGCTCTTGCCTTGCCATGTTTAAGGTTGACCAGTAAGTCTCTCATTTTTCCATGTCTAAGGTCAAGCACATAGCTCTTACCTTGCCATGTCTAAGGTTGAGTAGATTACTCTCACTTTGCCATGTCTATGTTCAACCAGATGGCTCTCACCTTGCCGTGTCTAAGGTTAAGCAGATGGCTCTAGCCTTGCCATGTCTAAGGTTGACCAGTAGGCTCTCTCCTTGCCAAGTCTAAGATCTACCAATAGGTTCTTACTTTGTCACATCTAAGGTCAATCAGATGGCCCTTGCCTTGCCATGTCTAAGGCTGAGCAGATGGCCCCCTCATCTTGCCATTTCTAAGGTCAAGCAGGTGGCTCTCACATTGCCGTGTCTAAGGTTGACGAGTAATCTCTTGCTTTACCATGTCTAAGGTCAACCAGATGGCTCTCACCTTGCCATGTCTGAGGTCAAGAAAATAGCTCTTGCCTTGCCACGTCTAAGGTCAATCAGATGGCTCTTGCCTTGCCATGCCTAAGGTCAACCAGATGGCTCACACCTTGCCATGTCTAAGGTCAACCAGATGGCTTACGCCTTGCCATGTTTAAGGTCGAACAGTAAGTCTCTCACCTTGCCATATCTAAGATCAAGCATATGGCTCTCACTTTGCCATGTCTAAGGTTGACCAGATGGCTCTTGCCTTGCCATGTCTAAGGTTGAGCAGATGGCTCTAGCCTTGCCATGTCTAAGGTCAACCAGTAGGCTCTTGCCTTGCCATGTCTAAGGTTGACAAGATGGTTCTCGCCTTGCCATGTCTAAGGTCAATCAAATGGCTCTCACCTTGCCACGTCTAAGGCCGACCAGATGGCTTTTGTCTTCCTATGTCTAAGGTCGACCAGATTGTTCTCAACTTGTTCTATCTAAGGTCACAGACCTATAAAACAATAACATGGTGAAAAGAAAACATGGTATATAGGCAACAAGTAGCATGATGAATGGAATAGTACCTCACATCTCAATATTAATGTTAAATGTTAATGGTCTAAATGCTCTGCTTAAAATATATAGAATTGTAGAATGGATAAGAATTCAACAACCATCTGCTGCCTTTAAGAAATTCCCCTAATGCATAAGGACTCACATAAGTTAGGGTAAAGGGGTGAAGAAAAAGCATTCCATACAAATGGAGACCAAAAGTAAGCAGGAGTAGCTGTTCTTATATCAGACAGAAAAATCTTTAAAGCAACAACAGTTAAAAAGATGAAGAAGAATGTTGATATAATGATAAAAAGCCTTGTCCAACAGAAAAATATCACAATCCTAAATATATGGACCTAACATTAGAGCTCCCAAAGTTATAAAACAATTACTACTAGACCTAAGAAATGAGATAGACAGCAACACAGTAATACTCCACCGACAGCACTAGACAGGCCATCAAGACAGAAAGTTGATAAAGAAACAATGGATTTAAACTATATCCTGGAAAAATGCACTTAACAGATATTTACAGAGCATTCTACCTAACAAGTGCAGAATATACATTCTATTCATCAGTGCATGGAACTTTCTCCAAGATAGATCATATGATAGGCCACAAAACAAGTCTCAATAAATTTAAGAAAGCTAAAACTATATCAAGTACTCTCACAGACCACAGTGGAATAAAATTGGAAATCAACTCCAAAAGGAACCTTAAAACCATGCAAATACAGGGAAATTAAATAATCTGCTCCTGAATGATAATTGGGTCAACACTGAAATCAAGAAGGAAATTTAAAAATTCTTCAACCTGAGCAATAATAGTGACACAACCTATCAAAACCTCTGGGATATAGCAAAGGCGGTGCTAAGAGGAAAGTTCAGAGCCCTAAATGCCTACATCAGAAAGTCTGAAAGAGCACAAGTAGACAATCTAAGGTCACACCTCAAGGAACTAGAGAAATAAGAACAAATCAAACCCAAACCAAGCAGAAGAAAGGAAATAACCAAGATCAGAGTGTATCAGAGCAGAACTAAATGAAATTGAAACAAACAAAAAATGTGAAAGATAAATGAAACAGCTGGTTCTTTGAAAAGATAAACAAAATTCATAGACCATTAGCAAGATTAATAAAGAAAAGAAGACAGAAATTCCAAATACACTCAATTAGAAAAGAAATGGAAGATATTACAAATGACACCACAGATATACAAAAGATCATTCAAGGCTACTATGAATACCTTTATGCACATAAAGTAGAAAATAGAGAAGATGGATATATTCCTGGACAGACAGAACCCTCCTAGCTAAATAAAACAGAAATAAATACCCTGAACGGCCAATAATATGCAGCAAGATTAAAATAGTAATAAAAAAATTACCAACAAAAATTTACAGGACCAGATGGATTCACAGTTGAATTCTACCAGACATTCAAAGAAGAACTGGTACCAATCCTATTGACATTATTCCACAAGATAGAGAAAGTGGGAATCCTACCTAAATCATTCTACGAAGCCAGTATCACCCTAATACAAAAACCAGGAAAGTACATAACAAAAAAAGAAAACCGGCCAGGCACAGTGACTCACACCTGTAATCCCAGCACTTTGGGAGGCCGAGGCAGGTAGATCAAGAAGTCAGGTCTGGCCAAGATGGTAAAACCCCATCTCTACTAAAAATACAAAAATCAGCTGGGCATGGTAGCATACACCTGTAATCCCAGCTACTCAGGAGGCTGAGGGAGAGAATTGCTTAAACCTGGGAGGGGGAGGTTGCAGTGACTGCACTCCAGCCTGGGTGACAGAGTGAGACTCTGTCTCAAAACACACACACACACACGCACACACACACACACACACACACACACACACACACACACAGAAAAGAAAAGAAAAGAAAAAGAAAGACCAACATCCCTGATGAACATAGATGTAAAAATCCTTAACAAAATATTAGCCAACCATATCCAACAACATATCAAAAAGATAATCCACCATGATCAAGTGAGTTTCATACCAGGGATGCAGGAATGGTTTAACATATACAAATCAATAAATGTGATACAGCACATAAAGATAATTAAAAACAAAAATCACATGATCATCTAAATAGATGCAGAAAAAGCACTGGACAAAATCCAGCATATCTTTATGATTGAAACCCTCAGCAAAATTGACATACAAGGGACATACCTCAATGCAATAAAAGTGATCTATGAACAAAGCCACAGCCAACATTATGTTGAATGGGGAAAGCTGAAAGGATTCCCTCTGAGAACTGGAACAAGACAAGGATGCTCACTCTTACCACTACTATTCAGCCTAGTACTGGAAGTCCTATCCAGAGCAATCAGACAAGAGAAAAAACAAAGGGCATCCATATCAGTAAAGAGGAAGTCAAAGTGACATTGCTTGCTGATTATATAATTGTATACCTAGAAAACCCTGAAGACTCCTCCAAAAAGCTCCTACAATTGATAAATGAATTCAGCAAAGTTTCAGGATACAAAATCAATGTACACAAATCAATACCAACTTTGCTGAATTCATTTATTAGTTCTAGGAGCTTTTTGGATGAGTCTTTAGGGTTTTCTAGGTATATGATCATATCATCAAGGCAAGGCAAGAGCCATCTGGTCGACCTTAGACATGGGTAGGTGAGGGCCATCTGGTTGACCTTAGACATGGCCAGGAGAGAGCCTTCTGGTAGACCTTAGACATGTGAAGGCAAGAGCCATCTTGTCGACCTTAGATGTGGCAAGGCGAGAGCCATTTAGTTGACCTTAGACATGGGAAGGCAATAGCCATCTGGCCAACCTTAAACATGGCATGGTGAGAGACATCTGGTCCACCATAGACATGGGAAGGTGATAGCCATCTGTTCCTCCTTAGAAATGGGAAGTGAGAGCCATCTGATTGACCTTAGACATGGGAAGGCAAGAGCCATCTGATCAACCTTGGACATAGAAAGGCGAGAGCTATCTGGTTGACCTTACTTAGAACAAGGCAAAGTCATCTAGCTGACCTTAGACATAGGAAGGCAAGTTCCATCTGGTTAATCTTAGAACATTTGGTCAACCTTAGACGTTGCAAATTCAGCAAAGCTTCAGGATATAAAATCAATATACACAAATCAGTAGCTCTACTATATACCAACAGTGACCAGCTGAGAATCAAATAAAAAATTCAACCCCTTTTACAACAGCTGCAAAAAAAAAATACTTAAAAATATACCTAACCAAGGTATATTTACAAGGAAAACTACAAAACACTGCTGAAATAAGTCATAGATGACAAACAAATGGAAACACATCCCATGTGGATAGATAGATAGAATCAATATTGTGAAAATAACCATACTGCCAAAAGCTATCTATAAATTAATGTAATTTCCTTAAAAATGCCACCATCATTTTTCCAAGAACTGGAAAAAACAATCCTAAAATTTGTATGAGAACAACAACAACAAAAATCCCATACAGTCAAAGCAAGACAAAGCAAAAAGAACAAATTGGGAGGCATCACATTACCTGATTTCAAACCATACTATAAGGCCATAGTCACCAAAACAGTATGGTACTTGTATAAAAATAGGCACATAGAACAACAGAACAAATAGATAACCCAGAAATAAAGCAAAATACTTACAGTCAACTGTTCTTCAACAAAGCAAACAAAAATATAAAGTGGAGAAAGGACACCCTATTCAACAAATGGTGCTGGTATAACTGGCAAGCCACATGTAGGAGAGTGAACCTGATCCCCATCTCTCACCTTATACAAAAAATCAACTCAAGATGGATCAAGGACTTAACTCTAAGACCTGAAACTATAAAAATTCTAGAAGATAACATCAGAAAACCGGTTCTAGATATTGGGTTAGGCAAGTACTTCATGACCAAGAACCCAAAATCAAATGCAACAGAAATAAAGATAAACAGTTGAGACTTAATTAAACTAGAGAGAACTTACCCAGCAAAAGGGATAGTCAGCAGAGTAAACAGACCACCCACAGAGTGGGAGAAAATCTTTCACAATCTAACCATCTGACAAAGGACCAATATACAGAAATCTACAATGAACTTAAAAAAATTAGCAAGAAAAAAATACAAACAATCCCACAAAAAAGTGGACTAAGTACATGAATAGACAATTCTCAAAAAAAGATAAACAAATGGCCAACATACATATGAAAAAATGCTCAACATGACTAATGATCGGGGAAACACAAATGAAAACCAGAATGCAATACCACCTTACTCCTGTAAGAATGGCCATAGTAGAAAAATCAAATAATAATACATGTTGACACGGATTCAGTGAAAAGGGAACAATTCTACACTACTGGTGGGAATCTAAACTAGGACAACCACTATGGAAAACAGTATGGAGATTTCTTAAAGAACTAAAAGTAGAACTATCATTTGATCCAGTAATCCCACTACTGGATATCTACCCAGAGGAAAAGAAGTCACTTACAAAAAAGATTTTGCACACACATGTTTATAGCAGCACAATTTGCAATTGTAAAATGTGGAACCAACCAAAATGCATATCCAATGAGTGGATAAAGAAATTGTGGTATAAATATATAATGGAACACTACTCAGCTGCAAAAAAGAATGGAGTAATGGCATTTGCAGCAACCTTCATGGGACTGAAGACTATTATTCTAAGTAAGGTAATTCAGAAATGAAAAACCAAACATCATATACTCTCACTCATAAGTGGGAACTAAGCTATGAGGATGCTAAGGCTTAAGAATGACACAATAAACTTTGGGGAGTTGGGGGAAAGGGTGAGAAGGTGAGGGGTAAAAGCCCACAAATTGCATTCAGTTTACTGTTCAGGTGATGGGTGCAACAAAATCTCACAAAACACCATTAAAGAACTTATGTAACCAAATACCACCTGTTCCCCAAAAACCTATGGCAATAAAAAAATTAAAAATAAAGAAATATAAAAACAGTACAGCATGTGGTTGAGTCTCCAGAGAAATAGATATCATATAGAAAAGACAATCATAGCTTTTGGAAATTAAAGACACACTTAGAGAAATGCAAAATACACTGGAAAGTTTCAAGAACAGAATTCAAACAAATAGAAGAAAGAAATTCAGAGCTTGAAGACAAGGATTTCAAAATAACCTTACCTGACAAAGACAAAGAAAAAAGAATTAAATAGACAAACATCCAAGAAATGTGAAAATATGTTAAACAACCAAACATAAGAATGCTTGCTGTTCCTGAGGAAAGAGAGAAATCTAAAAGTTTGGAAAATGTATTTCAGAAAATAATCAAGGAAAACTTCCCTGGTCTTGCTAGAGATCTAGACATTCAAATATTAGAAGCTCCAAGAAAACCCTGGAAATTCATCCCCAAAAAACATCATCATGTAGGCACATAGTCATCAGGTTATCTAAAGTCAAGACAAAGGAAAAACAATTTTAAGAGTTGTGAAGCAAAAGCATCAGGTAACCTAAAAAGGAAAAGCAATGAGATGAACAGAAGATTTCTCATCAGAAACCCCAGAAGCCAGAAAAACTGGCATGCTATCTTTAGCCCCCTTAAACAAACAAACAAAAAAATTATCAGCCAAAAATTTTATATTCAGTGAAACTAAGCTTCATAAAGAGTGGTAAAATCTTTTTCAAACAAAAATATGAGAGTATTCACTGCTACCAAGTCAGCACTACAAGAAATGCTAAAAGGAGCTCTAAATCTTGAAATAAAACATCGACAGACACCAAAATAAAATCTCCTTAAAGCAGAAATCTCACAGGGCCTATAAAACAATATCACAATCAAAAAAACCCAAGGTGTTCAGGCAACAACTAGTATGATAAATAGATTAGTTCCTCACAAGTCAATACTAACATTGAATGTAAATGGCCTAAATGCTCCACTTATAAGACACAGAATGGTAGAATGGATAAAAATCTACCAACAATTTCCTGTCTTCAGGAGACTCATCTAACACGTAAGGACTCATATAAACTTAAGGTAAAGGGGTAGAAAAATATATTCCATGTAAATAAAAACAAAAGGCAAGCAGGAGTAGCTATTCTTATATCAGACAAAACAGGCTTTAAAGGAACAACAGTAAAAAACAAAAAGGCAAAAAGGGACATTTTATGATGAAAGATTCATCCAACTGGAAAATATCACATTCCTAAATGTACATGCACTTAACACTGGAGTTCCCAAATTTATAAAATAATTACTACTAGACTTAAGAAACAAAATACATTGCAATACAATAATGGTGAGAGATTTCAGTCCTCCACTGACAGCACTAGACAGGTCATCAGGACAGAAAGTTGATACAGAAACAATGGACTTAAACTATACACTGGAACAAATGGACTTAACAGATATTTGCAGAACATTCTACCTAACAAATGCAGAATATACATTCTTTTCATCAGCACATGGAATATTCTTCAAGATAAAACATATGATAGGCCACAAAGCAAGTCTCAATAAATTTAAGAAACCTGAAATTATATCAAGTAGTCTCTCGGACCACAGTGGAATAAAACTGGAAATTAATTCCAAAAATAACTGTCAAAACTATATAAATACATGAAAACTAAATAATGTGCTCCTGAAAGATCTTTGAACAATAAAATCAAGAGAGAAGTCGATCCAAGATGGCCGTTTAGGAACAGCTCAGGATTGCAGCTCCCAGTGAAAGCGCAGAGGGTGAGTGGACGCCGCGTTTTTATTGCCCACAGACTAGGAAATTCCTGGGCAGAGGTGCTCCACGGTCGCCAGCGCGGCTGTTGCGGCCAGCACCGGCCAGCACCGCTGCTTTGCCCCGCGCGGCTGCTTTGTCGGCGCCCGGGAGCCGCGGTTCTCCATACAAAATACACCGGTCCGGGGGCCCTTTTGGCTGGCGATTGGAGCCACGGGAAGTCGCCCATACGCTGGTTCAAAAAGGGGACTGAGCAGAGAACCAGGACAGTAGATTCCAGGGCAAAAAAAAAAAAAGAAAAAAAAGCGCCACAAACCTCAGTGCCGCTGTTTAAGCCAGCGCAGTGAGTCGCCGCAGGGGAAAACAAACAGACCCCGGCGCCTCTTCAACAGGCGACTGGAACACCAACTTAAAAAAGGCTCTGAGGCAGGGAGCCAGGCGATCAGGCTCGGCTGGCCCCACCCCCACAAAAGAACAGCAACCAGAAACTCTGGATTGAGAGTTTCACAGCAAGCGCAGCTGAACCCAGGACGGTCCAGCTCTGTGGGGGAGGGGCGTCCGCCATTACCAGGGAGCCCGCCGTTGCCAAGGCAACCCGCCACAGCAGAGACTCCACCCCAACAGAGGCGGGCCACCATCGCCAAAGCAGTTCTAACTACACCCATATAAACAGGACTGCAGGGAAGTTCACTCGGCAGCGGGGCGGAGCCCACAGCAGCTCAGCAAAGCTGCTATAGGCCGACAGTGACTAGGCTGCCTCCTTGCTGGGCTGAGCAGGTCTGAAGGAAAAAAAACAAACAAAAAAAGAAGACAGGAGCATAACGGAAACTCATAAATAAAGCCCTAAATCCCTGGGACAGAGCACCCGGGAACAAAAAGCAGTTTATGAATTCTCCTACAGCAGACCTAGAAGTACCTGCCCAGCAGCTCTGAATGAACAACAACAGAGCTAGCAACTCACCATTTGAGCTCCTATAAAGAAAAGACCGTCTCCTCAAGCAGCTCCCTGACCCCTATATATCCAAAAAGACACCTCATAAAAGAGAGATCAGATTGACACTAGGCGGGTATCCTTCTGGGACAAAGATAGCAGAAGAAAAAAACAGGTAACAACCCTTGCTGTTCAACAGCTGCTGCAGGTGAACCCCAGGCAAGCAGGGCCTGGAGTGAACCTCAGCAGACCTACAGCAGAGGGGCCAGACTGTCAGAAGGAAAACCAAGAAACAGAAATAACCTCATCATCAACAAACAGAACGTCAATCTGAAAGATTTGAGACCCAATCTGAAAGCCAGCAACTACAAAGTCGACAGGTGGATAAATCCTTAAGGATGGGAAGAAACCGGCGCAAAATGGATGAAAACACCCGAAACCAGAACACCCCTCCTCCTAAAAGGGATCACAACTCCTCGCCAGCAAGGGAACAAGGTTGGATGGAGAACGAGTGTGATGAAATGACAGAATCAGAATTCAGAAGGTGGGTAGTAAGAAACTTCTGTGAGCTTAAAGAACATGTTCTAACCAAATGCAAAGAAACTAAGAACCTTGAAAAAAGATTTGATGAAATGCTAACAAGAATGGACAAAATAGAAAGGAATATAAGTGAATTGATGGAGCTGAAAACTGCAACACGAGAACTTCGTGAAGCATGCACAAGTATCAACAGCCGAATTGACCAAGCAGAAGAAAGGATGTCAGAGGTCGAAGATCAACTCAATGAAATAAAACGGGAAGGCAAGACTGGAGAAAAAAGGGTAAAAAGGAATGAACAAAGTCTCCAAGAAATGTGGGACTATGTGAAAAGACCTAATCTACGTTTGATAGGCGTACCCCAATGCGACGAAGAGAATCAATCCAAGCTGGAAAATACTCTTCAGGATATTATCCAGGAAAACTTCCCCAACCTAGCAAGGCAGGCAAACATTCAAGTCCAGGAAATACAGAGAACACCACAAAGATATTCGTCAAGAAGAGCAACCCCAAGGCACATAATCGTCAGATTCACCAGGGTCGAAATGAAGGAGAAAATACTAAGGGCAGCCAGAGAGAAAGGTCGGGTTACCCATAAAGGGAAGCCTATCAGACTCACAGCAGATCTGTCAGCAGAAACCCTACAAGCCAGAAGAGAATGGGGGCCAATATTCAACATCCTTAAAGAAAAGAACTTTCAACCCAGAATCTCCTATCCAGCCAAACTAAGCTTCATAAGTGAAGGAAAAATAAAATCCTTTGGGAACATGCAAGTACTAAGAGATTTTGTCACCACCAGGCCAGCTCTACAAGAGCTCCTGAAAGAGGCTCTACACATATAAAGGAACAACAAGTACCAGCTCAACTAAAGGGCAAAACAGCCAGCTAGCACCAAAATGGCAGTATCAGATTCACACATAACAATATTAACCCTAAATGTAAATGGACTAAATGTCCCAATCAAAAGACACAGACTGGCAAATTGGATAAAAAGACAGAACCCATCGGTGTGCTGTATCCAGGAAACCCATCTCACATGCAAGGATACACAAAGGCTCAAAATAAAGGGATGGAGGAAGATTTACCAAGCAAATCGAGAGCAAAAAAACCAGGAGTTGCAATTCTCATCTCTGATAAATTAGACTTTAAAGCAACAAATATCATAAGAGACAAAGAGGGACATTACATAATGGTAAAAGGATCCATGCAACAAAGAGCTAACAATCCTAAATATATATGCACCCAATACAGGAGCACCCAGATACATAAGGCAAGTTCTTAATGACTTACAAAGAGACTTACACTCCCACACAATAATAGTGGGAGACTTTAACACCCCATTGTCAACATTAGACAGATCAACAAGACAGAAAATTAACAAGGATGCCCAGGACTTGAACTCAGACCTGGACCAAGCAAACCTAATAGACATTTACAGAACTCTCCACCCCAAATCCACAGAATATACATTCTTCTCAGCACCACATCACGCCTACTCTAAAATTGACCACATAATTGGGAGTAAATCACTCCTCAGCAAATGCAAAAGAACGGAAATCGTAACAAACAGTCTCTCAGACCACAGTGCAATCAAGTTAGAACTCAGAATTCAAAAACTAACTCAGAACCGCACAGCTTCATGGAAACTGAACAACTTGCTCTTGAATGTTGACTGGATAAACAATGAAATGAAGGCAGAAATAAAGATGTTCTTCGAAACCAACGAGAATGAAGACACAACATACCAGAATCTCTGGGACACATTTAAAGCAGTCTCTAGAGGAAAATATATAGCAATAAGTGCCCACATGAGAAGCAAGGAGAGATCAAAAATTGACACCCTATCGTCAAAACTGAAAGAGCTAGAGGAGCAAGATCAAAAAAACTCAAAGTCTAGCAGAAGACAAGAAATAGCTAAGATCAGAGCAGAACTGAAGGAGATAGAGACACAAAAAACTCTTCAAAAAATCAATAAATCCAGGAGCTGGTTTTTTGAAAAGATCAACAAAATAGACAGACCACTAGCCAGATTAATAAAAAAGAAAAGATAGAATAACCAAATTGATGCAATAAAAATGATAAAGGGGATATCACCACAGATTCCACAGAAATTCAAACCATCATCAGAGATTATTACAAACAACTCTATGCACACAAACTAATAAACCTGGAAGAAATGGATAAATTCCTGGACACTTGCCTCCTGCCAAGCCTAAACCAGGAAGAAGCCGAAACCCTGAACAGACCCATAACAAGGTCTGAAGTTGAGGCAGCAATTAAAAGCTTACCACCCAAAAAAAGCCCAGGTCCAGATGGGTTCACAGCTGAATTCTACCAGACATACAAAGAGGAGCTGGTACCATTTCTTCTGAAACTATTCCAAACAATACAAAAAGAGGGAATTCTTCCCAAATCATTTTATGAGACCAACATCATCCTGATTCCAAAACCCGGCAGAGACTCAACAAGAAAAGAAAACTACAGGCCAATATCCATGATGAACATAGATGCAAAAATCTTCAATAAAATACTGACAAGCCGATTGCAACAGCACATCAAAAAGCTTATCCACCATGATCAAGTAGGCTTCATCCCGGGGATGCAAGACTGGTTCAACATACGCAAGTCTATAAACGTAATTCACCACATAAACAGAACCAAAGACAAAAACCACATGATTATCTCAATTGATGCAGAGAAGGCCTTTGACAAAATTCAACAGCCCTTTATGCTAAAAACACTCAGTAAGCTAGGTATCCATGGAACGTATCTCAAAATAATAAAAGCTATTTATGACAAACCAACAGCCAATATCATACTGAATGGGCAAAAACTGGAAGCATTCCCCTTGAAATGTGGCACCAGACAAGGATGCCCGCTCTCACGACTGCTATTCAATGTAGTATTAGAAGTTCTAGCCAGAGCAATCAGGCAAGAAAATGAAATAAAGGGCATTCAAATAGGAAAGGAGGAAGTCACATTGTCTCTATTTGCAGACGACATGATTGTATATCTAGAAGACCCCATCGTCTCAGCCCCAAACCTCCTGAAACTCATAAGCAAGTTCAGCAAAGTCTCAGGATACAAAATCAATGTGCAAAAATCACATGCATTCCTATACACCAGTAACAGACTTAAAGAGAGCCAAATCAAGAACAAACTTCCATTCACAATTGCCACAAAGAGAATAAAATACCTAGGAATACAACTAACAAGGAATGTAAAGGACCTCTTCAAGGAGAACTACAAGCCACTGCTCAACGAAATAAGAGAGGACACACACAGATGGAGAAACATTCCATGTTCATGGTTAGGAAGAATCAATATCATGAAAATGGCCATACTGCCCAAAGTAATTTACAGATTCAATGCTATCCCCATCAAGCTACCAATGACCTTCTTTGCAGAACTGGAAAAAACCACCTTAAACTTCATATGGAACCAAAAGAGAGCCCGCATAGCCAAGTCAATTCTAAGCAAAAAGAAAAAAGCGGGGGGCATCACACTACCAGACTTCAAACTATACTACAAGGCTACAGTAATCAAAACAGCATGGTACTGGTACCAAAACAGAGATATAGACCAATGGAACAGAACAGAGCTCTCGGAGGCAACACAACCTTTCTACAACCATCTGATCTTTGACAAACCAGACAAAAACAAGCAATGGGGAAAGGATTCCCTGTTCAATAAATGGTGTTGGGAAAACTGGCTAGCCATGTGCAGAAAGCAGAAACTGGACCCCTTCCTGACACCTTACACTAAAATTAACTCCAGATGGATTAAAGACTTAAACATAAGACCTAACACCATAAAAACCCTAGAAGAAAATCTAGGCAAAACCATTCAGGACGTAGGTGTAGGCAAGGACTTCATGACCAAAACGCCAAAAGCATTGACAACAAAAGCCAAAATAGACGAATGGGACCTAATCAAACTCCACAGCTTCTGCACAGCAAAAGAAACAATCATTAGAGTGAATCGGCAACCAACAGATTGGGAAAAAATTTTTGCAGTTTACCCATCTGACAAAGGGCTGATATCCAAAATTTACAAAGAACTAAAGCAGATTTACAAGAAAAAAACTAACAAGCCCATTCAAAAGTGGGCAAAGGATATGAACAGACACTTCTCAAAAGAAAACATACGTGAGGCCAACAAACATATGAAAAAATGCTCATCATCACTGGTCATCAGAGAAATGCAAATCAAAACTACACTGAGATACCATCTCACGCCGGTTAGAATGGCGATCATTAAAAAATCTGGAGACAACAGATGCTGGAGAGGATGTGGAGAAATAGGAACACTTTTGCACTGTTGGTGGGAGTGTAAATTAGTTCAACCATTGTGGAAGACAGTGTGGCGATTCCTCAAGGACATAGAAATAGAAATTCCATTTGACCCAGCAATCCCATTACTGGGTATATATCCAAAGGATTACAAATCGTTCTACTATAAGGACACGTGTACACGAATGTTCATTGCAGCACTGTTTACAATAGCAAAGACCTGGAACCAACCCAAATGCCCATCGACGATAGACTGGATAGGGAAAATGTGGCACATATACACCATGGAATATTATGCAGCCATCAGAAACGATGAGTTTGGGTCCTTTGTAGGGACATGGATGAACCTGGAAACCATCATTCTCAGCAAACTGACAGAAGAGCAGAAGATCAAACACCGCATGTTCTCACTCATAGGCGGGTGTTGAACAATGAGAACACATGGACACAGGGAGGGGAGCACTACACACTGGGGTCAGTTGGGGGGAAATAGGGGAGAGAGGGCGGGGGGTGGGAAGCTGGGGAGAGATAGCAAGGGGAGAAATGCCAGATGTAGGTGATGGGGAGGAAGGCAGCAAATCACACTGCCACGTGTGTTCCTATGCAACAATTTTGCATGTTCTTCACATGTACCCCAAAACCTAAAATGCAATAAAATAAATAAATGGGGGAAAAAAAGCAATAAAATGTGAATATGGGGGAAAAAAAATCAAGAGAGAAATTTAAAAATTGTTTTAATTGAACTATAATACTGACATAACCTATCAAAACCTCTGGGATACAGCAAAGGTGGTGCCAAAAGGAAAGTTCATGGTATTAAATGCCTATATCAAAATGTCTGAAATAGCACAAACAGACAATCTAAGCTAACACCTCAAGGAACTAGAGAAACAAGAACAAACCAAAAGCAAATCCAGCAGAAGAAAAGAAATAACTAAGATCAGAGAAGAACTCAATGACATTGAAACAAAACAAAACAAAATAACAAAAAAAAAAAAAAAACAAATGAAACAAAAACTGGTTCTTTGAAAAGATAAACAAATTCAATAGACCATTAGTGAGCATAACAAAGAAAAGAAGGAAGAAGATAAGCTCAATTAGAAAAGAAATGAAAGATTTATGACCAATAACAGAAATCACTCAAAGCTACTATGAACACCTTTATGCACACAAACTAGAGAACCTACAGGAGATGGATAAATTCCTGGAAATATGCAACACTCCTAGATTAAACCAGGAGGAAATAAAAACTCTGAATAGACCAATAACAAGTGGTGAGATTGAAACAGAAATTTTAAAATTGCCAACAAAAAAAGTCCAGGACCAAATGGATTCACAGTTTAAATCTGTCAGACATTCAAAGAAGAACAGGTACTAAACCTACTGAAAGTATTCCAAAAGATAAAAAGGGACTCCTCCCTAAATTATTCTATGAGGCTACCATCACCATAATACCAAAAACAGGAAAAGACATACCAAAAAAGGAAACTACAGACTGATATCCCTGATTAATATAGATGCAGAAATCCTCAACAAAATACTAGCTAACTGAATCCATCAGCATATCAAAGAGATAATACACCATGATCAAGTGGGTTTCATATCAGTGATGCAGGATTGGTTTACCTTATGCAGGTCAAAAATTGTGATACACCACATGAAGAAAAATCACACGATCATCTCAATAGAGGCAGAAAAAGCATTTGACAAAATACAGCATACCTTTATGATTAAAAACCTTAGCAAAATCAGTATAGAAGGGACTTACCTTAAGGTAATAAATGCCATCTATGAAAAACCCGCAGCCAACATTATACTGAGTGGGGAAATGTTGAAATCATTCCCCCTGAGAATTAGAGCAAGACAATGATTCCAATTTTTACCACTTCTATTCAACATAGTACTGGAAGTCCTAGCCAGAGCAATCAGACAAGAGAAAAAAACAAAGGGCATCCATATCAGTAAAGAGGAAGTCAAACTGTTGCTATATATGCTATGATCATGTACCTAGAAACCCTAAAGATTCATCCAAACATCTCCTAGATATCATAAATGAAAACAGTAAAGTTTCAGGATACAAAACAAGTGTACACAAATCAGTATCACTGCAACACACCAACAGTGACCAAGCTGAGAATCAAATAAAGAACTCAATCTCTTTTACAACAGCTGCAATAATAATAATAATAAATAAAATACATAGGACTACACCTAACCAAGATGAAAGACCTCTACAAGGAAAACTACAAAACACTGCCAAAAGAAATTATAGATGACACCAAAAACTGGAAACATATCCCATGTCCTTGGATGTATATAATCAATATTGTAAAAATAACTATACTGCCAAAAACCATTTATAAACTTAATGAAATTCCCATCAAAATACCATCATCATTCTTCATAGAACTAAAAAAAGTATTAAAATTCATAAAGAACCAAAAATGAGTCCACATAACTAAAACCAGACTAAGAAAAAACAACAAATCTGGAGGCATCACATTACCCAACTTCAAACCATACTACAAGGTTATATATAGTTACCAAAACAGCATGGTATTGGTATAAAAACAGGCATATAGATCGAAGGAATAGAACTACAATACAGAATCCAGAAATAAAGCCAATTACTTCCCAAAGCCATAAAAATTCTAGAATAGAACACTGGAAAAATTCTTCTAGACATTGGCTTAGGCAGAGTTCATGACTAAATGCAACAAAAACAGAGACAAATAGATGGGATTTAATTAAAATAAAAAGGTTCTGCACAGCAAAATTAACATTCAGTACAGTAAGCAGGCAACCCACAGAGTTGGGAAAAATATTAACAACCTATGCATCCAACAAAGGACCTAATATCCAGAATCTTTAAGGAACTCAAACACATCAGCAAGAAAAAAACAATGCCATCAAAAAGTGGACTGAAGACATGAATAGAAAATACTCAAAAGAAGATATATAAATGGCCAACAAACATATGAAAAAATGCTCAACATCATTGTCAGGGAAATGAAATTCACAACCACACTGAGATACCACCTTACTCCCACAATAATGGGCATAATTAAAAAATAAAAAATAATAGATACTGGAGTGGATGTGGTAAAAAGGGTACATATTTACACTGCTGGTAGGAATGTAAACTAGGACAGCCACCATAGAAAACACTATAGAGATTCCTTAAATAACTAAAAGTAGAACTACCATTTGATCCAGCAATCCCACTACTGAGTATCTATCCAGAGGAAAAGAAGTCAAAAAGACACTTGCATGCACATGTGTATATAAGCACAATTCACAATTGGAGAAATATAGAACCAGCCTAGATGCCCATCAATCATCAAGTGGATAAAGAAAATGTGGTATATAGGTATACCATGGGATAGTACTCAGCCATAAAAAGGTATGAAATAATGACATTCATAGCAACCTGGATGAGATTGGAGACTATCATTATAAATGAAGTAATTAAGCAATGGGAAGCCAAACATCCTATGTTCTCATTCATAAGTGGGAGCTAAGTTATGAGGATGCAAAGGCACAAGAAAGACACAATGGACTTTCAGGACTCAAGGGGAAAGGGTGAGGGTGGTGATAGATAAAAGACTAAACAATGGGTGCAGTGTACACTGCTCGGGTGATGGGTACACCAATATCTCAGAAATCAACCCTAAAGAACTTATCCATGTAACCAGATAGCACCAATCCCTCCAAAACGATTGAAATAACAATACAAATTTTTACAAAGATGGAAATTTCAGATGTTAGTGTGTGTGAATTGATAAAGCAATTTTAAAGTTCATAGAGAAAATATGTCATCTAATAGTAGCTACTGTTTTCTCCAATAGTGAGTGAAGGTCAGCTCCCACTGGACATCAGGAAGTATCATAATCCCAGACTACGGTGCTGCTACAAAACACATCCATGGCCTCAGCATGACAATCAGACATGAGTTACATTATAATACAAGAATTTAAGTCATCAGAAATGTAGCTGTTGAAGTCAGCAGAGAATAGAATTGTTTTGAGAAAGTTGTATATTATTTAGAATTTGAAAAAACCAAAAGCATAAATTTGAAATAACATCAAGACATTGATAGAAAAATAAAATCAGTATTACAAGAAAATATAAGTTCTTACGTTCCCGTAAATTATTCCTTTTACACTTGACATGAAATGCAAATATTTTTTAAGTAAATGATGGACAAATGTTACTAAAATGATGAAATCATTTTTAGCAAAGTATTGATAAACAATATTAAAAAATAAGTGAAATACTGGGAAAAATGCTTGCTATGTATATATAACAAAAAGGTACTATTCAGAATATATGAAGAGTTCATTCAAATAAGGACTTGAAAAACCCAGTGAGAAAATGGGCAAAGAATATTAAGATAAATTACACAGAAGAAAAAAGCAAATTGTGTATAAACAAATGAAAAGCTGCTTCACCTGTCTAATAGTCAAAATGTCTACTAAAATATAAGATAGTATTCCCCCATCTCATGGAAGAAAATTAAAAAGTACATATCCATTACAGAAATTACCTGTAATATTCATCACCTCACAAAACAATGGAAAGGTATTTATTTGTACTGGAATTCTGAACAGATTCCCCAGATAAAAAATCAATAATGACCAAACTAATTGGGAGAGTGATAAACTGAACAAGCCTTATTTTTTAATCAGTGAAGACTAATTGTTTATTTTAATTAAATTTTTTCTATTTAGCCTTGTGTAATAAAGTCAGTCAATATAGGGAATGTTCACTAACATACATAAATTCAAATAAATTGTTAATTTTGAATGATGATTTAATATTGATAAAAGTTGTCCAAGTTTTTCAGAAAAAAACAATAAACATAATACATACAACTTCAGGTAAGTTTAAGAGAAGGTGGACTGCATCCTGTTTATTATCTTGTGCCTGTTTCCATCCTGATTCAGCATACTGCATGAATTTTTTTTTAAAGTTTCGTGTGACTGTGACCACTCCTCTCCTCTCTCAGGTAATATTCGATTGTTCTGTTAGAAACAATTTTAAGGTTTGCAGAGCTGTGTGTATATCAAGTAGTCTGATTAGAGGAATTTGAACCTTTAGATCATGAAAGAGCTTACTCTGAGTTGTCATAGTTGGCGTAGAATCCATGGCTTATGATGTAACCAATGTGAACATCATAATGTCTTTAAGGTTTGTATTCACAAATTCACTAGCTAAAGAAGTGGTGTACTCATCTGATGATATCCAAGATGAATAATAAGTAAAAGCCATGTAAGAATCTTCCAGAAAACTGAATTCATCTTGGATTCTTTGGAGAAATGAATTCTAAGTCATGGAACTTGGGAAAGCTTTTCTGTATTTACCCAAATTAAATCTGACTGTAGATTGTTGAGAATTATTCAGAATTAAGCATGTTTAGGGATATTCATGGATTTGGGCTATTTGAAGAGTAATTATTCCTCTGATGGCTAAAACAGTTTGAAGATGGTGTTTGTTTAGCAGTAATTCAAGAGTCAAGGCTCCCCAGTTAATTGACTGTCCAGCAGAAATCCATTTCCTGAGATAGTGGCAGAAGATGTCCAGGAAAGAGTTAGCAGCAGTACAGATGGTTTGTGCTGCATTCCCCAGAAGGGCAGAACTAATGAATAAATGTAATCAAATTCCTGTTCTCTGGTCACAAAATAATCAAGTTCCTGTCCTCTGGTCTCAAGGTGAAGATTTACTGCTCCAGATACATTGAGATTTAATACTTCTCAAATCAAGAGATGTTAAGACCTTCAAATGGCCCATCATTCAAGAAACAGCACTGTGAGATACACCTTTGGTTTCCCTCTTTGGAAAGATATGTCCTATTGAGTGTATTGCCTTTTCTACCTCAGAGTAAAAACTGGCATGAGTAGGCTGACGATCCTGCATCTCTCATTCTGATTTTCCAGCAAATGCATTTCCTTCACCTGCTTGGAGGTTAGATTTCTCCATGAAAAGAATCGTAAGAGAACTATTTCCTTTTTGCACAATAAATGTCACAGCTTCAAATCCAAAGCCAGAGGGCTCACACTGAAACAACATACACTCCATTTGCCTTAAGGTTCCATCTTGGCTCTACACATAGGTATTTGGGAAAACTGACATTCTGGAAAATGGATTTCAAATACAGCAAGACAGATAGCCACATATGTGAAATATGAAGACAGCATGACTCACCAGTGCATTTTGTTGAAAAAAAAAATAGCCAAATTTCAAATTTCATTTATTTTTCAAACTGACTGACGTTAGCCACTGACAGATCTGTAGGATGCTATCAGGCAGGATTTCTGTACAACCTGGCTAAGATTTAAAATGTGGACCTGCATGTGAGTCTTACTATTATGCAATCCTTGTTGTAAAAAGTCAGGTTGGTGTTGGCCACGAGTATAATACAACATCTTGGAGGTTGGGAAGGTCAAAGGGTGCTTCTTTGATGAGTTCCTCTAAAGATGGCAGTAAATGAGTGCCTGGTAGTGCTCCACTCTTCACATAGACCTGCAGAGACTGAAAGAAGTGTGCTCCCTGATAGCCCACTTTCTTAGCAGCACAGGCCAGCACCTCTGCTAGTATAGATCCTGGCTGTCGGGGGATCACGTCAGGTGTACAGAGGTGTCTGGCATTCGGTAATATCTGGGTGAAAATTTTCCAAGTTATCATAAAGTGTGATGTACAAGGTGCATTTTTAATACCAGAAACTTCTTGCTTTGAAAGCACATGATGTCAAAAAATTTACTGATAATGATAATGATGATGACCTTTCATGATGTCAAAACAGGAAAGTAGGTATCCATGTGATCACCAATCTTCACTTTGACTGGACAGTGCCAGGAATTTGTTTCCCCATTGTTTCATCAGTGCAATATGAAGTACTGCCAAAAGTACAGCTGCAGGTGCTATACGGGAAAATCATCTTCTGAATGGCTGTATATTTTATCAGTCTCACTAATAACATTTTATCAATTCCACAGATTGGTCATAAGCCATGTGAGTCTGTGACTTT